GGTGTGATTACATAATAATTGCCTGCAATTCACTCCAACTCATCTCTTTTAACAAGCTATAAATTTGGCTTTCCCCAGCATACTCAAGGACTGATCAGGGTGGAAGCTGGGTGGAAGCAGCAAAGACTTCTCATACTGGAAGCCCAGCAGTGATGCAAGGATCACATCTGAGTTCCTCTGAAACTCTGTTCCAGAGTTATGGAGCAAGTTGTACATGCTCTAGCACGGCTACAGTGCTGAGTTCTGTGCCACAAGACAGACAAGATGACAAAACAGTCCCCTCCCTTTTGCCTAGCACTGCTCCTGGCAAGTCAGTATCTTCAAGGAGAGGGCTGCTGAAAAGGGCCACTCTCTAGATCAAGTGGTGAGGACACACTGATTTATTTACATGTCTTTAAACAACTACCCTTCAGAAAGAGTGCTTTATTAAGAATTTGTCATCAGATTCCCTCCACTGTAAGGTGGAACATTTAATCTGCTGAGTGAGTTCCAAAAATAGAAAAAACCCACTTGTATGATTGTTTATTTCCATGCTTAGCAGCACATACTGTGCTACGTCAATGGAAGCTCGGTGCTAGGAAAGAATGTGGAGTATGCTTGAGAGGTCCAGCTTGGAGTCTTTCTGGCAAACTGGAAAGATGAATTTGGTCACCAGACTTCAGGGATTTTAAAACCCCTGCTCAGCAGAACTAGTTCCTGGAAGCCACAGTCACACTCACCTGATCGACTTCATTTGCATAAGAGCGGCTGCCACATGGGGACAAGAGAGGGAAGGAAAATCTCTGCACGGGCCTGTTAAAAAACCCCAAAACAACAGGACAGTCAGATGTGGAATATCTTATCTGTTCCCTACTGCAGCAACATACACATGTAAAGGAATGTAGTGCTGCCTACATACATGATGTAGATTGTCATTTGAAGACAGAATCTAGTATACACTTCTCCTTAGTCTGAGCCTGTGTGTTTCCTACAGCATAACACATTTGTTTCTCCAAAGACCTTGATGCTATTTCCAGCTGCAGAAGCTGTCTGGGTATTACAAAGTATTCTAAAATAGCTCCTGGTCTAGAGGCACAGAGCTGCTTTCACCCACAAAACGGGCAGTGCAGTGTTTGCATTTTCAAAAGCAGCAACACCCTCACTTAAGATGTGCACAAAGTTGGGGTATGGGAAGTTATTAATTTCTCTGATGAAGGTATTCTGCTGTGGCATTGTCTCTGACACCCAGCCTGAGGCTGAATTTGCTTGAATTTGTCTCAATCCTTTTACACACAGCTCCATCCTTATTTCATCCTGGATGACACTTCTTCCCCTGCAGTGTCTACCCATTAAATACACTTAGATTTTACATCCCCTTTTTGCAACTGTTTAAGCTAAGGAACACTGTCTTTGACCAATACCTGCCATGCAGATCTGAAGCTCCTCCGCATAGTATGTGTGACTCCCAGAAGACAAAACATATTCACAAAGACAGACCAGAGCAAAGCAACAATGCCTTCCAGGAAATGAGATTCCATTTAGAAAAGCTACGTTACCCAGCATCACTCTGACTTAAGCCTTGCCATCATTCTGGCAAAAAATCTGGGCCTGAACAACAAATCAGATTGACCCCAAGCTCTGTCCTTATCAGTCACCTCTCTGGACTTCATCAGCTTTTTCATTTTTGCTTTGGGCACTGACATTGCCCTGCAGGAGCTTCTGGCCTTTCCTTATACTTGCTGTACTTCATCTACCCTTTGGGTCCTCCAACAGCATCTATCCTTCCCAGAGCTTATTTTCCAGGCTGCTTGTTGGTTTCTAAGTAAATTTATATAACCATTCACAATTATCTCCAGCTCAACCATCACAGGCTCTCGCAGGGTGACCTGTGCTAGATGACCTGTGCACAGCAGCTTGCAGATGCTCTGGCCTCTGAGCTGTATCTCAGGAAATCAAGGGATCTGTGAAGGCAGAAACTTTGAATCAGATGGGAAAGGAGATGACACATTCAGGCAATGGTGTTCACTCACCTTCCTGAACCAGTTAAGCTGTTTTTCTGACTTGGAGTGTCACAAGCCAAATCAATAGCTATAGCTAACTTAATTGCTGCAAAGGTCAGTCCCCAGGCAGTGTGTGTTAACATCACTGACCTGCAATCCTGGATTGAAACTTCTACCTCAACAGTAAGATTCTTGGTGTGTCTTAAAGTGCCCAGAAATGTTCATAACATTGGTTTTAGTTGAATGAACTTGGTTTTTATTTTTCAGTGTCATGTTTGGTCCTGTTATTTCACTGCAGAGCACTGATTTGCTGCACTCAATTCACAATAATCTGTAGAGAATACCTACTACACATTCTGCCTATCTTGACCTGAAGACAAGGGGAAAAGAAGAACAGATGCTGGCTGCTGCTGAGCAGGAAAGTCATCAGCTGGAACAACCAGGAAGTGATGTGAGCCCCCACATGGTACACTAATGTACCATAAGCCATTTTTGTCATTCTGCATCATTGAATCCTAGAGACGACAACAGAGATTTTTAGAATGCACAGATGGTCCTCAAATTGAATTTGTGCTTGTAATCATGTGCCTTTTGCTCAGTTCTCCCAAAAAAAGGAGTCACCAGCTTGAGGAGTCAAGTACAAAAATGCTGCTTCAGTGCATTAAGACACTGGTATAGTGGCAGCACTGCCTTTCAATGAACAGCTGGATTTCCACTGCAGGTTTAGCAACTTGTGGGGATTTGCAAATGCAACACAGGTTTGCCCTGAGTACAAGACACACAAAGCACAAATACACAGTAAGCAAAACAGAAGACGGAAGAAAAAAAAACAAGAATATGCTGAAAATTCTTTCCTCAAGTTAATAAAACATTAATTTGTATTTTTAAGGCCACAGCAGATTCCTACAGGTGAACTCTGGTGTATGTGGAGCAAACAGGAGATAAAAGACCTATGTCTGTTTGCACAGGAAATCTCTTAACAGCCTAGCTATCTCCAACACCCTGTTACCAGAGCCACCCTTGACCGTGATGGTGCTGGACATTGCTATCAGCAGCAGCAGAGCAACACTGGAGGTGGCAGTTCTTGTTTAACAGGCCATGAGCCCCTTCTAAATGGCTTATGTGCAATTAGTGGCACACACACTGCTGCTTGGGAAGCCTGCTCTAAAACAAAGCCAGGGAAAGCACTCAACTTGCTCTGAATTTGGACTAATAGGTTCCAATCATACAGCAATATAAATGCTGGGGGTTTTTCAGAGCTAGAAATTAGAATTAGATAGGCAATTTTCTGTTCATTTGCAGAAAAGAACCTGCTTAATCACTCAGCCCACCTCCATTTCTCAGTAAAACCCTCCCTCTCAACCTTCTCATTTCATGGGATTCACTGCCTCTTTCATCACAGGAAGTCACAGAAATGTATGACAGTTTCTTGCACTGAAGCAAGGCCTACTTGCTGATATTCCAAAAAAAAACTCTTGATGGATACTGAATTAATGCACTTTTAAACTTTTTAACTGCAATGTAAAAAAAAAAAAATAAATCCAAGTTGCCAACCCCTCCTTGCATACAGAGTGCATCTCTACTGTGCTCACTCAGTGACTGAGCCCTGGCACAGGTTGTCCAGGCAGGTTCTAGAGCACCCATTGTTGGAGATACTCAAAAGCCACCTGGACACAGCTCTGGGCAAGCAGCTCAGAGAGGCCCTGCTTTAGCAGGGTGGCTGGACCACATGACCTTCAGATGTCCCTTCCAACCTCAACCACCTTGTGACTCTGTAAATAAACTGTCCCAGTGAAATCAAGTGAGTCTTTGACGTGTGCTCTACTCAAGATGTCACTTTTTCTTCTTTTCCACCAAGTTACTTACCTGAAGCCATTCCCTGGGTCCTTGAAATTCAGGGCTTTCACAGAGAAGTTCAAGAGAGGGCGGGACAGCTTGGTGGCCAACATGTTTTCAACTAGCACACTTTACCAAAAGCAAAACTATTCTTCCTTAGCTCTGCAACACAAGATAGCACCTCTGTTTTAGTTGCTCAATTACTTTGCAAGACATGCTGACTCTGTATTTCACCAGGAAAATACAGTCCAAAGGAACTCATCTTCTCCCCTTGCAGTCCCTCACACAGGGATAAATAGCTCAACCTTCAGCCACCCAAGATGCTTTTAAATAAGGAAAAGCATTATAAGTAAACTACCAAGCACAGAGACATTTAAAGAAAATGTCAATTTCTCTTCTTTAATGCATCTTCAACTGGTTTCTCTGAAACGGGTAAAAATTAAGGTATTCATATGGAATATATTATTTTTATTGAGCTATATGAAATAACTTTAAACAAAAATATAACTTCAAGTCACAGGTGATGTTATGTTACATGTTTCCAAAACAATCCTTGGCTTTACAGCTAGTACAGCCACGCAGTTAAAAATACATTTGTTGGTAATTAAGTAGCTGCTGATGCTGGACTAAGCACAGGGAACCACCAATAAACTCAATATCGGGTGAAAACATCTCAAGAACGAGACTTTGGTATGGAAAGTCAACTTCAATCATATTTACCTTGGATAAAACTAACCCAAGGCACAAAAACCATTTCCCAGTTCCTTTTATTGAAGCTGCGAAACGGTATCGAATTGCTAGGGGTGGTTTGCACCTCTGCCGAAGGCTGGGCCGCCACCGCGGCAGCTTCAGGGCCTGCTGGAAGCCAGGCCTGGGCTGGAAAGCTGTGAAATTACCGCAGAGGGAGCAGCGGTGGGCACCGCGATGGGGAGGGAGGGAGGGGGCGGACAGCGCTCAGGAGGCTCGGCTAATCCTCAGAAATCCCGGTGGTTTGATCCAACTCGGGAGCACGGCCGGCGTCCCCGCGGGTTTTTGCGAGCTGTGCAGGCAGAGGGCGAGGCCGGAGGTCCGCGGCAGCCCGGCCGGCCCGGCGCGGCCCAGCCCCTCTGCGGGACGCGGCAGCCGCGGCCCCAAAGGCGCTCACGGCCCGGCCGAG